CTGGGGCCCCTTCCCCGAGCCTCGCACTCTCCCATTATCTGCCTGACCTCAGAGGCATCGAGGCACAAATTGCCTGGATTACAGGAACTCTGGCTTTAGCATTATTTCCAGTAAACCGTGTATGAGGTTCATTTTCTATGTCTAACCACCTCCGGGATTGCAAACGTTTGTAGACCTACCGTGCTGAGTCTCCCCGGCGTTACACATCAGCTGAGGATTCTATTCTTCATCTTACTGCCCCCTGTGAGCCACCGACAGTGTGGAAATTAAGATTCAGGCCCCTTTGGTTTTAAAAACTTGGAATTATCAGAGATTGCTATTGCCTAAAAAGCCCCAGACTTGCTCAGTTCAGAGACAAGAAACTCTGGCCCGTTTCCTCTGTGCCGGAGGCGTTTGGTTCTAGTAGGATGCTGGCTGGTGCGGGAGTGGGCTTCTGCCCTTCCCTTGCTACTCAAAGGCAGCAGCATCGCCCAAGGTCTGGTGGGAAATGCAGAATCTAGGGCCTCATCCCAAATCTGCTGAAATCAGACTGTGTTTTAAGGGGATCTCCAGGGGATGGGCAGGCGCACTGAAGTGTGAAAAGCACCCCTAGAGTGCCTGGTGGGAGATGACATTTCTCCTCCTCGTCCCTGTGTTCCTTGTCCCCCAGCTGCCTCTGTGTGACAGAATAACCAGGCCTCACTCACAGATGCGTGGCCCCTGCCAGCCCCAGCCCCGCTCCTCTACCCCACGGTCACCGCCGGGCCAGATTGCTTTTGAGTTTACACCCGCCCGGAGTCAGCAGGCCACTTTGCAACTTGGCTGTGCCAAGTTTCTTTCCCTCAATCCTTCTTATCCCCTCATGAAATTCTCAAGTGGATGTTAAACGGGGTAGAATGTAGCCAAAGTGGTTCGTGAACGGAAATTTCTCCCTCACTCAGGCTTGTGTTCCCCTCCTGAGCCGCAAGTCAAGGGTAAAGCAGGCCGTGTAATTACTTTCGTTGCTGAAACCCTACGAGGCCAAGATCTCATTTTCCTTCCCTGAAACAACATGAAGCCCCTCCCAGCCCAGCTGTTGGCCTGACTGTCCCATCAGTGCCCCGCCTGACCTGAGGGGCCTGTCCGGGACGGCATCGGGCCACAGCCAGTGCAGTGACATGGCCCACAGCGTCCCCCGAACGGACTTTATTTGCTGCTTTCCCGTTTCTGACACTACGGTGTAGCTCCAGGTTCCCAGGTGTATGATTTACCGTTTGACTATTGTGGTCGGAGGTGCCAGGTACATTCTGCACGACAAAGTCTGTGCTACAAAATTCAGAGTATTTCTCCAGAACTCTACAGCTCTGTCCCTGCCAACACTGTTTACACATCAAAAACTCAAAGAACAGGCATACGGTTAAGTATTACGAGAAAGAGCAGCCTAAGCCACCTTCGTTATTTTTGAAGTAGGTTTAGTTTGTTGGCTAAAACAGGTAGAAAACTTTGAGTATGCCTTGTTATCCCAGAGCACCCAAACACTTTCTACAGCTTCTTCTGTTGCTTTTGAGGGTTCCAATAAGATGATGTTCTTTTCCTCAAAGTTCCAGTTAAAACTATTATGATTTAATTAAAACTATTATAAACTCTAACCGTGATCATCTTGAAAGACCATCACTATGTTGAAAATTATTAGGGAAACTGGGAAGGGCAGAGGAAGAGGGAGAAAGAGTGGAAACCAAAAGGAAATGAAGTAGGAGTACTTAGAAATAATTGCTATTTGTGACATAATTTTTTCACACTGGTTTTAAGATTAGTAATTGCTTGCTCACGGGCTGGAGAAGCTGTCCTGAGGATATCTGCCTCTTGGATAAAGAAATCGGTATGCAAGGAAGACAAGGAGCTTCCTGGGGAATGTTCCTAGGAGATACAGACTGGTGTTCCTCAGTCTTGTGAGTTGAGAGTAATGATTTTTACTTACTGTTGCAAACAGTACCAAAGCCCATCTTATCAGACAGGCAAGCATACAGGAAGGCCATGCCAGTGGGGATAGACGGTTTAGGTTTCTAGTCCTAATATGATGGGACTAGAAGAGAAGGTGGTTAGAAGAGAAGCACAGGTCTGCATGAGCTTTAATGACAGTGGACATCACATGAGAACTACAATTCATCATTCGAAAAGTACTGTTCTGTTGTTTTAGGGCTTTTTAATAAAAGCCATTCTAACTGGGGCAAGATGATACCTCGTTGTCGTTTTAATTTGCATTTTCCTGGTGATTAGTGATGCCGAACATTTTTTCATATGTTTATTGGCCATTTGTCTTTCTTCTTTTGAGAAGCTTCTGTTCATGTCTTTTGCCCACTTTTTAATAGGGTTATTTTTTCTTGCTGACTTGCTTGAATTCTTTGTAAATTCTGGGTATTAGCCCCTTGTGGGATGTGTAGCTTGTGACTATTTTCTCCCATTCCGTCGGTTGTCTGTCTGCTCTGTTGATTGTTTCCTTAGCTGTGCAGAAGCTTTTTAGTTTAATCAAGTACGATTTATGAATTTTTGTTGTCGTGATTGCCATTGGAGTGTTAGTCATAAATTCTTTGCCTAGGTTGATAACTAGAAGAGTTTTTCCCACACATGTGCACAGAGGGAATCAAAACTCAGTAGAAGTCAACCAGGGAAGAGGGGGAAAGGGAGGGGCAAAAACCTACCCAATGGGTACAGTGAACACTATTTGGGTGATGGGCACACCTATAGCTGGGACTCAAGCATTACAAAATCAATCCATGTAACCTAAAACATTTGTACCCCCTTAATATTTTGAGATAAATTTTAAAAAGCACACATCGTCCTAGGAACAGTTAATACTAGAACATACAAAAGTTAAGTCACTCACCAATATTCCTCCAGTGTGCCATTCTAAAACTGGAAATAGCGAGAAGGGGTTGTAAAAATCTTGCCCAACCAACTCATGTCACAGGAGAAGGGACACAAGCTCGTCTACCACCACCCAGTGGGTGTTTTCCACTCTAGTCCTTAGGCACAAAGTTGATGGGTGCAGATCTCAGTCCTGCTCTTCACTGTGCCCCTTCCTCCCCTCCCCCCCCACCTTCTGGCAGTGTGGAAGCACTAGAGGTAATCGGTGGCGACATCATGTCATGCTCAGGAGAAGCATGGCTTGTCCTGGAGTCAGCCCTCTCCCCAGAGCCCTGGGTGTGATGCCATAGGGTTGCTTCTCAGCCCAGGCTCTGCTACCTGCTCTGGGTTGGAGTCCCTTCAATGAAGGGGTGAGACTGTGCCTCCACCCCCAGAAGGGCCCTGGTACCTTCCCAGTGCGGGGGACCCAGGGTGGTGGATGAGCAGATGCAGAGACTGTGCAGTCATAGAAATCGGGGCTCCTTTCTGACATTTCTTTCTGAATATGTTCAAAGAAACAATCTCATTTTATCTTCATGGGAGGAGGTGGTTTTTTTTAAAACTAAACTGAGGTATCAAAATAGAACTGCATGATTAAAGGAAATTGTTATATAGGAATTACCTTGAGCTTTCCCAAATTTTGCATAGGAAAATATTTTTATTAGAGCAAATCCTTTAGCAGATCACTAAAACTGCCCTAGCAAAACATGGTGGTGGGTTGTATTTGGAGACAAAGAGTTTCAGAGGATTATAAAGAGAAATATCAGCCTTTATTCTCCCTATCTTCATTTTCTTACCATGAGAGCAGATAATTTTATAATAACGTCACTTTATTTATTTTGTAAATTAGTTATATGACATGATAGTTGAATACATTACTCTCCTAACATTCATAGTTATAACCAAAATGTTGCTAAGGTCATTAACTCGTTGCTTTGGAATACTGATGCATTGTAAATGTGTTCTGCCTCTAGGTGCGGGCGGGAGTCCGGGGGGGGGGGGGGGGGGGGTTGTTCCACGGGCTGCAGGGGCAAATGTTGCCACTTCATATGCCAGATAATGTAAGACTCCTTATAGAATTATATTGGGAGTATTGATGTGTCCAATTATAATGGGGTTTTTTGGTGGTTATTTGGGTAGTCAAGTTGGTCAGAAAGTTGTAAGTCCCATGAAAGCTTAATTGTTATCCAAGTTTTCTATAACATAAAGTAACATATTTTTAGGTATGATTGACATTTAAAATATCAATCTTAAAATCTTAAAGGTTTTGTTCCTAGTACTTTAGGGGGATTTGGGAAGATACTTACCACAAAGAAACTTTTGATTTCTGCTCATTAAGTGTGAAAAATTATGGAGCATTTATAATCAAATTATCTATTTATGTGGTTAATCTAGAAGTATTTCTAGGTTGTTTTTTTTTAACTGTTAAAACATAAGCTTGTGTTTTTAGTGGGATGAACTTCATACATATTCCTGGTTTTCGGGACAAAGTGTTTTTAAGCATGTACCTTGGCCAAAGTATGATAAGTAAAACATATTCACAAAAACTTTTTAAAAGCTTTGCTGCCAATCCCATTTCTTGCCTACCTTTTCAGTTTTGAAGAGTTAAAGAAGTGATTGTCCTAAGTGTTACCAAGAGATTGGTAGCAAGCAGTCCGAAGTTCTGCTTCATTGCAAAAGAAACATAATTCAGGACGGTGCAGCTGGAGGCACATAAGGGATTCTTAGGAACTCGGTGGCATTTTAAGGAGCTGGGAACCGGGCATGGCTAGACCCTCATTTCTACATTCATCTAGAATTTCCGGGGTTTTGATCCAAGAAATGCCAGGCAGGCGTGTTCAGGAGGCAGATCTCACCAATGGGGAGGCAGCTGGAAGAGTTCGCGCGTGGGAAACCCCGGCCCCTCTCTCCCTCCCACACACTCGCCTCTGGCCGCCGCGGTGCGTCGCCGCTGCAGGCCGGGCGCGAGGTCCGAGTGGCCCCCTGCGGCCGACGCGGAGCAGCTCCCCAGCCGGCAGCGGCGACCCTCGGGCGGCGCGGGGGCGGCGGCGGGGCGGGCGCGCTGCGGGCCGCTCTGTTGCTAGAGCCGTGATGTCACCCGCCCCTCCTAACCCGCGGTTGGTTGTTTTGTGTTTCAGCTCTGCCTGCAGTTGAACACAAAGACCTGGAGGAGACTCCCACATCCTTCAGGGAGAAGAAAGGAGGCAGCGAAGCAGATTAAAGGAACTTGTGGCTGGTGGCCTTTCTGGGCAGGGGCGGCCCGGAACGGGAGCGAAGGGCACGAAAGCCACGGTGGCGGTGAATGAGCTGTGAGATGAGGCGCTGCCACCGCCGCTGCCGCCGCTGCTGACGCTCCGCTTCCACGTCCCTCTGCCGCTCTTTGTGCTTCATGTACATGTGTCTATTCAGGCCGGCCGGAGGCGCCCAGAAGAGAATCCAACACGGCCGCCGGGGAAAGAGCGCCCGCCATGCCCACGGAGAGCCTACAGACAGGTAGCATGGTGAAGCCGGTCAGCGCAGCGGGCACCTTCACCTCGGCCGTGCCCCTGCGCATCCTCAACAAGGGGCCCGACTACTTCCGCAGGCAGGCCGAGCCCAACCCCAAGCGGCTCAGCGCCGTGGAGAGGCTGGAGGCCGACAAGGCCAAGTACGTCAAGAGCCAGGAGGTGATCAACGCCAAGCAGGAGCCCGTGAAGCCGGCCGTGCTGGCCAAGCCGCCCGTGTGCCCGGCCGCCAAGCGCGCGCTGGGCAGCCCCACGCTCAAGGTGTTCGGCAACCACGCCAAGACCGAGAGCGGCGTGCAGCGGGAGACGCTCAAGCTCGAGATCCTCAAGAACATCATCAACAGCTCCGAGGGCTCCAGCTCGGGCTCGGGGCACAAGCACAGCTCGCGCAACTGGCCGCCGCACCGGCCCGACGCGCCCGACCCGCACCGCCACTCCTTCGCCGAGTCGCTGAAGGTCTACCCCACGCAGGGCCGCGCCAGCCCGCAGGAGGGCGGCTCCCACGTGAGCCGCAGGCTGCTGGAGCCGTCGGCCGAGTCCTTCCTCCACGTCTCCCACAGCTCCTCGGACATCCGCAAAGTGACCAGTGTGAAGCCCCTCAAGGCAATCCCCTGCAGCAGCTCCGCCCCTCCCCTGCCTCCCAAGCCCAAAATCGCAGCCATCGCCAGCGTGAAGTCCCCCGAGGCCGACCCGGTGGAACCAGCCTGTGGAGTCAGCCGAAGACCATCCCTCCAGCGGTCTAAGTCAGACTTGAGTGACAGGTACTTCCGAGTGGACGCGGACGTGGAGAGGTTCTTCAACTACTGTGGACTGGACCCGGAAGAGCTGGAAAACCTCGGGATGGAAAACTTTGCAAGGGCTAATTCTGACATAATATCCCTCAACTTCCGCAGCGCAAGCATGATCAGCTCAGACTGTGAACAGTCTCAGGATAGTAACAGTGACCTTAGAAATGACGACAGTGCCAATGACCGGGTGCCATATGGCATTTCCGCCATCGAGAGAAATGCTAGAATCATCAAGTGGTTATATAGCATCAAACAAGCTAGAGAGTCACAGAAGGTCTCCCACGTGTAAGAGACACGGTGGTGGAAAAGAGGGGGGTGGGTCTCTGTGCATATGCAGTTGTAAAGGTTGTGAGGTCTCCTTGAAGTGTTGTGAGCTTCTCCACTCTTTGTGTTGCTCGTTGTGCAATGTTTTCAAGTTGCATGCCTGTCAACATGGGGACTGACCTGGCTTCCACGTCACCATCGCTGCCGAGCCTGGCTGAATACACACCATCTGCCAAAAGTCGCAGGCCAGAATCCAAATAGGGCTTTGCTCTTAAGCAAAACTGTTTACACGAAAACGGTATACGACTTAAATATTTATGTGGTTCTTGTGTTTTTATATCCCTCGCTATTGTGTCTTAATTAAAAGTTTTATCAACTGGCTTTTAAGTTGAGAGCAAAATCTTTTTGAAATAAAAAGCCACTTTGCCTACATATGAGACCATAACAGCGGGAAAATAAATGGGATCTGCTACCAGACAGATAGTGACTGACAGAAGGAACATAGAACCAGGCTGGGTTTTCTGTGGAATTCAAGTGGTGAGCCTGATGTTTACCGTTTACATGTTGAAATTCTCTTGCCACTTAGTGAAGCAATTTTGGGGTAAGGATGCTACGTTTTGTGTCCAGTTCAGTGTGTAAATAATGGTGGTTCTGTGTCATACTGACCCCAAGGAAAGATGATCAGATACAGCGAAGGATGATTAAATCTAGGAAGTTGGGTGTTTGGGGAGTTTGTTGATGTTGTTCCAATTTAGGATAACTCAGAAATTTCTAGTATTAATTTTTTGACAGAAATGGCCACCTTAAAAGCAGATACAGAATGCCTTTTTAAAAAAATGATGTGGGATTTTTTCTGAGTCAAAAGCTACGAATTTCATACTGTTTCTCCCTCCTGTTGTTGTTGTTGTTTTATTTGGGGGAGGGGCTTGTACAGGCTTGAGCTGTCTGAAGACATGAACAAAAATGGAAATACCAGCCATATCAGTAGAGCCTCCCATTCAAAAGTGAGCGCGTTGGTAGCTGAATGGTATCTGAGCAGTGTGATTCTGTTGTCTTGCATATGTTATTCTCTCAGGCTGTGGGTCTTTGTTACAACTCTAAGAAAACTGTAGAAACACAACACTATGTAGCTTTTCCACCCTGTGGTCTCTAGTGCTGCCTATCAACTTGTTCTCTTTTTTTCTCAATAACCTGTCTTCCAGGTGGTTTAGTTAGCTGCCAGCCATCTGACCGCATGGTGTGGCAGTGGAGAGGTCTGCCTCATTGCTCTCGCCACGCTCTGAAGTTCTCAGCAGCACTACCTTAGACTTCATCAGCTAATAGGAAACCTTTATGGTGTAAATGCTGTAAGACTTTGTACATACTTCAGTTGTTATGAAATCTTTAAGAATACAAAAGAAAAGTTATGCTAATAAATCGCTCTGGTGCAGGCACTAATGGTGGTGGTTTCTCTTTGTCCTTTCCGTTCTCCCTCCACAAAAGTTTGACTCTGGAGTGAGTGAGAAGCAGATTTTTGATAGTCTTGAGGAAACATTATTTCGTTAAGTTATTTTCGCCATATCCCAATTATTCTGAACAGCAGCATTCTTAATCGTAGCTATAGCAATATGCTTTTGCTAAAACAGTTTCATCAGGTTTCCTGAAATATGCTGCTGCTTCTTTACTTAGTTCACACTTCCGTTATTTTTGTCTTTTCTTAAACATCAGGATTTTTCGCGTCTTCCACAAGACTGTTCGGTGGTAAATATTTATGCGTTCTTACCGTGGAGGCATGCCTTTGCAATGTAGAGCCTTGTTTTTATTTGTACTAACACCAGCCCGGCATCAGTACCACAGCATGCGTCCGTGCGCTCGTCCGCTCCTTCATTCCTTCCTCTTCGTCATGTCTCTTGTTGAGTGACTCTCCTTTATAGGCATCAGTGATAGGCACTGGACTGTCATGGTCAACAACACAGTCTCTGCCTCGAGAGACTTAAGATTTTCATATTTTAAGAGAAATACCATTCCCTCTTAGTGGATGTGTGCTGCCCTATTAACTTGGACATTGAGTCTTCAGTGAGTACTTACTGAATCAAGTTATTTAAAGAATGCTTCTTCCAAAGTTCCTTATAATATGTAAATGTAAAAGAAAGCATTATTTTAAAAGTAATTTTTAGAAACAAATGATATGATTCCCAACTATTACTGTTTATAAAAGCAAATTTGGTTCCTTGACTCCTCCTCCTGGTTTTGAATTATTCCGGTTCTGTCATTCATGTTAGTTGAACTAGGCCTCTGCTTCCCAGAAGAAACACTTTGGAGTGCAGCTATGAGTGGTGGTCATATAATACATTCAAGATAATAGAATAAAAGTAAGTTTTTATTGTAAAAATTTTTTTATTCTTAAAAAAATCAATAAAACAAAGTTTTCTTTCCTCACCATTTTGTAGAAACGTGGCATTTTAAAACATACATGACTTAGCATTTGACATACCCATGTTTCTCTTGCTACTGAAATACTGAAAATAGAAGTTGTTTTCCTAAGGAAGCCATTCTGGGAGGAGATGAGCACTTCTCAGCTAATTTAATGTCACTGCTTTTGCCATTTTGGTCATAGGTTGTATTTGAATCTTCCAGTGTTTCAGTACTATGTGTGATCTGTGTTCAGACAGGACTATAAATCATCCTGCTGTAATTCAGTCTAATCCTCTGTGGCCTTATTTGTACAGTGGACAAATGTGAGGCTTTGGTTCCGATGGAAGATGGGAGCTCCTTATTTTCTTTTTGTTCTTGAATTACAGTTTCTATAAAGGACATTTCAAATGCTTAATATTAAATCCTAAGAGTGAGACATTTCTTGTGAAGTGCTTATTCTAGCTCATGGAAGTATGGTGTGGGCATGAGAGTGTGTGTGTGCGTATGTGTGTGTGTGCGCAGATAAGATGATAGTGTTGGTATAGATACAGTGTTGTCATATAGTTCACACTTTTTTTCTACACAAGGCTCATTGAAACATGGTTGCCCTAGATGGCCCTGGAAACTAGCTGTTTCTTTATGAAAACCACCATATCTTAAGACAGTCCTCCCACATGCATCCCCTCTGCCATTGCCTTTGTTCAGGTTCTCATCATCTCTTACCTGTTTCTAGAAGTTCCTAATTAGAAGTCTTCCCAACACCCCAACCAGCCTCTTTCCTATCCCATTTTATGCCAAAGATAACGTAGTTAATTCTGATTATGTCACTCTTCTGTGGAAAAACATCCCCTGACTTGAATAGGTTGCTGATAGGATAAATCCTAACTTCTTAAAACAGGGAATGTTGTCATCTACCTCTCAGACCTCAGTCACCCAGCCAGCACCTCCCCTACCTGCCCCCCTCAACTCCATCCAAAGGGAAGTTTTCCATTGCGAACTTTTTACCACTGCATTTGTCATCAACTGTGTAACAAATTATCCCCAAATTTAGCCACTTAAAACAGTAAATGTTTATTATCTCAGTTTCTGTGTATCAGGAATCCTGGAGTGGCTTAGCCAAGTGGTTTTGGCTCAGGGCATTTAATGAGGCTGCAGACAAGATGGCGGCCAGGGCTTGACTGGGGCTGGAGGACCCAGTTCCAAGATGGCTCATGTGGTGTCAACAAGAGGCTTCACTTCCTTACAACATGGGCTTCTCCCTAGGGTTGCCTGGGAGTCCTTACAACACGGCATCTGGCTTCCCCTAGAGGGTGTAGACCGAGAAAAAAGAGCAAGGAGGAAGCCACAATGCCTTGTACAATCCTGTATCCTGAGCCACACGCCTCCATCACATTCAATTCATTATGGGTCCTACTCACAGGGAGGGGATGGGAGGAATAGCAAGCAACCTGTGGACATATCTTAAAACCCCACTGCTGCTGAGGTTTAGTGGCTGTAAGTTCTGTAAAAGATGCTTTCTCCATCTTTGACCTCACAGACGCTTGCTCTTCCAAGAGGCAACACAACAGATTTTTTGAGTTTCTATTTGCCTTTTGCCATTAGATTGTAATTTTTGTCATGGCCATGGACCTAGCCTTTGCTAGCCTAACTGATGCCTTTGTGAGAACTTTAAAGAGCTGTGCCTTTCTCAAAACATTTTATTCCCTGTCCAAAAAAAAAAAAACCTGTCCTAATAAACGTGCAGATCTCTCTGAGGACCACAATATATACCATGGCCCCAGAGTGGGGCAGCACACAACACAGCAGCCCAGAGTATATGATGCTCAGTGTCTGTTGGGTTTTTTCTTTTACTTTCATGTTTAAATCCTGTGCTAAATTATAAAAGTTACCACAATGAACCCAAAGTGGTAGTTATTTTCCCCATTTTAGAGGTGAAGAACCTTAGTTCCATGGAGACTAAGCACCTTAACCAAGATCCCAGAGGAATTAAGTGGCGGAATGGACCTTGAACTCAACTCTGAATCTAGCTCTGCCTTCCCCACAGCCCAGTTGAAGACAGGGGGGAGGCAGACTGAGGGTGTTGTGCTTGAAAACAGAAGGGCCCTTAAATTCATCTTGATACTTTTATCTGCTGCCGGTATACATAAACATGTCTCAAACAGTCAAAACTTCAGCAAATTCATTCTTACCTAAATGGTAATCTGTAAATTTACAAAAAATATTTCAGCTCTTCCACTCTGAGTAACATATAGCTCACTGTTCAAAGAGACAAGGCCATTAGAATTGTGCTCTTTCAGTTTAGAGTGTGCCATATTTTAAAGTTGCATCCTGTCGTTTTTGATCAAGGACTTTTAGAAGGAGAGAGGAAGGTGCCTGGCCACAGTTCAATCAGGAAACATTTTGACTATTTGGTGAATCAGCATCCCTCCATTCTCCCGCCCTTGAGGGTGATGCAGCTGGTGTGTTCGGACCAGAAGGAATAAAGAGGTCAAGAGCAGTCCGGATGAGCTTGGTCAAGAGAGATGGTTACTCTCACCACCATCTGGAAACGTCAAACCTGGGTGTCTCGGCCACTTAGCCCTGTAAAATGACTGAGAGCTCTGTCAATTTCTGCAGTGCGGTCCAAGAGCTGCATGGTGAAGGACCCCCAGACTCAGTGGCTGCATGTGCAGCTCCTGCACAAGTCACCTTCATGAGGGTTTCTGCTGTGTGCTCAGGTCACCCCACCTTGCTTTGGAAGAAACCCAGCAGAAGGAAAAGCCGGAGGGGGGTGGGCCTCAGCAGCCTTTTGGAAGCTCTTCCTCCAATGTCAGTGGCCCACGTACCCCAAAGCTTGCCTCCGTTCCCTCACCTGTAAAATGGGGGGACTGCCAACTGAGGTAGGTGTGCCGTTGGCCTCAGAGCTCTGTGACAGCATGGAGAACTGTTTTGGAAGCATTAGGATAGGGTATGAAGAATATGAAAATTCAGAGGGGACTGGTTCATGTTGTGGGCAAGTAGGAGGACAGATGTGGCCTGTTGGGGGCAAAACACTGAACTAAATGACATTTTATTCTCTGTCTATCCGAAACAGCGTTAGTTGGGGAAGGAAATGAAGTCTACGAAAGGATTCTTCTCTGAATGGGAGGAAGCTCCAGAAAGGAGAGAGCCTTGTTAACCTTTCAGGTTGACAGAAGCTGAAAGAATAGAAGGTGGCCAGGTGCACACCAACGTACTGTGCAAGGCTGGAAGGATAAAAATAATGAAAGTTTTTCACCAGTTGATCATTCCATTCATTCAACACTCATGAAACAACCATCAGCATGTCTCAGATGCTATCTAAGCTCTTTGTCACATGATCTCATTTTATTCTCACAAGAACTTTGGAAGTAAATTAAAATCCATCCTACTGATGAGGAATCTGAGGATTAAGCTACTTCTCAAAGGCGCACATCCAATAAGTGGAAAAAGTGAAGCACAAACCTAGATTAATAAAACATATCCTAAGATGCATTCTATACATATGAAAATGGATTTTTAATATCTCATGTGGTGGGAGCTATTTTTGCTCTTTTCCCGTAAGTTGCATTGCAGAACATTTCTCAGAAGCTTAAAACAGTAGTGCACATACTGGCTTGTGATGCTTCCGTACAGAACCACTAGTCTGAGCCACTCAAGACTAGTCATCATATTTGATCATGTCAGGACTGAAGCTTCTGAGTTCTTCTGAGAGGGACAATTAGTGATCAACTCTCCCTCTCCATCTTATTGTACGGAGGAGAGAACAGAGATCCGGACAAACAAGGTGGCAGGGCTCCCCCAGGGCTGTAGAGCCAGTGGACTAGCAGATGGGCTGGAGCCGGGCTGCCCCGACCTCACAGAGGATCCCCGATCAGGGACCAGAGGGACCACGCAGGGCTAGCAATTCCATCGCGTCAAGTACGAGCAGTTTGAGTAACGTGTCCTCTGTTATTCCTATGCAGTGTCCTTTGTCTCTCACACCATGTATCAGATATTTCAAGAAACTTTGATTGGGAGGTTTTCTGTTAGGTTTTCTGTT